GATAACGAGATTAAAATGATGATAACTAGTACAAATAAACAATGCAAACTACGTTAAAATACAAAAAATTACAAGAATTTGGTGGCTGGTTAACAGCCTATGGTTCTTATCTAAATGGTTGGCGTTCACTTGCATTAGAAACAATTTTTGCCTTCAAATCTCAATTAATTGAAAATAACTAATTCCAAAAAAAAGTTATATTTATAACATTTCGCTCAAAGCTGGAAAACTAAATTAGAAAAAAAACAGTCACAAAGTTACTCATATATCGGTCCTGCTTGTGCCAAAGGTTGAGCCAAACGAAAAGACGAAATTTCACCTAAAAACGGATAAAAAGCTTACGAAGAACTGATTAAAGGGACGCTAAACTCGCTTTTATATGCGCGTGGTGACACTGAAAGGTTCGATTACAAAATCAATAGAAACACAAACAAACGGATAAACATTGTAACGATGATCGCATCTAGGATAATAGAAGTAATTAAACTAATCAATAACGAACTAAATAAAAATGAGCTAGTGTCCTTAATATTGTTATACGAATATTATAGAGAAATCTTGTAAAACAGTTTTTAGAGTCGGTCCAGGAAATTCCTCTATATATTTTGCACAACTTCAGAACTTTTCTTTCTGAGAAAAGCCTCGCTGATTAGTGACTTTGAACAAATTAGATCTTTTTTCGACATTGACATTTACCCCTTTACTCCACTCAATTTCCTGTTACACCCTTGGTATGCGGTCGCCTCTTCTTACTAACTATCTTATGAATCTTATTGCGCCATTGCTTTTCCTATGATTTAGAGCTGAATGCCTTCCGTGTGACTGGATACTATCACGGAATGGGGAGGACAGGCAGGGAAGTGGGTACAACTTCCACAAGTTAAGTCATCCTTCAATATTTGACAACGGAAGCACGTTTTTCCTTCCCCCCCTCACACTTCTCATCCCAGTTTCAGGATCCCAAGAGCGCACTTTAGATAGTGCAGTACTTTAAAAGATTGTCGCATTTGCATGAAAAAGGGTAGCTACTAGAACGACGTCAACGGCAATTCGGAAATGTTTCCAAAGGAAGATAGTGATCCCTTTTGGCGACCCTAATGCATAGGCAACTCTAAGTAAGGCTTGCAACTGTTACCCATCGTCATGCACCCTCAAAATCATAACCCATCATCGATCATCGTGGATCTAAAAGTGTCATTTATAGTGGTAGAGAAGGACTTTCTTGATCTAAACTCTAATCCAAAGCAAGATGGGCGATTTATTGCTTCATTTGTTAAGTGTAAATAATTGACAGAAATAAATTGCACACAAACAATGGTATGTTTTGCCTGCGTCACAATGTCGTCCATCAGGGAACAGATGCATGGCAACATATATAGATTTGTTTATCAACTATTCATAATTCAACTGAACTTAATCATTGACAGTTTTTGCTAATAGATTCTTCTGCGGTCCTCCTCCTTCGTGGGAAAGGAAAGACAAGAAAAACTGCTAACCAGAAATTTTCTTTGGAAAAGGAAAAGAAACGGGTTCCTATCGTATTGGAAAATACCTAAGAAGCAACATGTGGCTCGAACACGTTTATGCATAAAATGTCACGCATGACTAAATCATCAACAGTTACGAAACTGAAACTCAAGTCAACTCGAAGAACAGACTTTAAGAATTGTGAAAGTTGCTGTGTTTGCCTTTCATGATCATAAGCTAAAGCTTCGAATGAAGGGAATTATCTGCCTGGTGATTTTTTCACGCTAGTAACTTTTTTCTCAGCATCTTAAGAGTGAAGTAAATCCTGCATCAATGCCTAGAGATCTCATTTGAGATGGCGTCGTCAGAAAACGAAACTATCTCTTTGGATCATATCCATCGAGAACCTGCAAATCCTGGAGAACAACTCTCCATTGCGGGAAGCAGAGATCTATTGACAGCTGCCATTCGTCCGCCTAGATCCCGTCGAAGAGTTATGGTCATTCTTGTTGCTATTGCAGTGGCAATCGTCGCGGCAGTGTTCATTGGAAAACAAGTTTCGAAATACCTTAGTGATAATAGGAAAGGTAAGTACTGATGTGCCCCAGTTTTTGCTATTTATTAAGAATTCAACCATAAAAACAACATATTAGAACAAAAGATAGAAGTGAGTCGAAATTTCAGCACATCGATTTGTCATTGTCGATGTCCCCTGTAGTAGAAAGTAATCATCTCATTTTCACGTAACGCTAAAAGCTAGCGCACATATTAATCAATCAATATATGAACGAGACGATAACGTAAGTATTCAGTTTGATCATGTTTAAGGTAAGCCATTAGAGAAGGAAACATGTAGGGGCACCTTCATCCAATTTCTACCAAAAAGCGTAAAGCTGGCGTCGTTTGTCCTCTGATCGATATTAGAGTAAGAACGATAACTTATAAATATGCTTTGGAAATCAGAGGCAAGCAATTCGTTGACAGGACATGCACGTACAGACAAGTAGCCGCGAGGCCGTGACCTTAGCCTCTTTAAAAGACTTAAATAGCTTTCTAGTGGAAAATTTCAATTGTATAATGTAATCCACCTGTTTGAATTACCCAGTGGGGGGAGGTTGAAAGTATGTGGCTCTTTCAACACAGGAAATTACTTCAAAAAATACGTCCAAAAGTTGCAAATAAGTCAATAGAGTACAGATGTAATTATCTGTGTGGTTAACTAGCTTTGAGAGGGGTTTTGCGAACGGGCGTTTCTTACAACGGTGAGGTAGGCTCCTGAATACAAGCAAAAGTTACAAAATGGTCAATAACTCAGCTTTAGATTAGATTTAGATCCCTTTAGGGAGCCTGGTAAAAAAAAACATCAATCCATGCATTTTGAAAGGAATCATGCACAGTTCAATTTTGGGATCATTTGCGATCCGGATTAACTTTTTGCTAAAACTTTTTTAACTTCTTCTTAAAATAGTAAACAGCACTACACGAACTGAAATACTAAAAACTTGCTTCATTCTCCTACGCGCCTCATATGACGGCAGCAGAAGTTTATACAAGTGGGCAAATAAGCTTCCTTAGATATGCATGGTAAATACGATGTCTATTTTCGACCTCTACGCAAAGTGTGAAGCAAGCGGAAAGGTATCTATGAGGTGTGACAAAAGTGTTGTAGATGCGCGACATTTCTGGGACGTTACATGTACGAGTAGATGTTGTGTATGGTGGCCACAGATTAAGAACCAAACTACGAGTTGAGTTCTGATACATTTAGCACACGAATTTCAGTTCTTGAGTCCATGCTATTTGGATATAGAAGGCAGAAATAGCAGCTCATCCATGGTGTGCATTATTTAGTACCCACGTAAAAATTCCGTTACAAAGGTTCAGTTATCTTTTGCAAATCATTTGTGTTCACAGATGTCAATGAGTGCAACGATGGCGGCCGTGGTTGTGGCACGAAGGCAAATTGTACCATCTCTAATGGCTCCCAAAACTGTACCTGTAAGGAAGGATACACTGGAGACGGACAATCTTGCCAAGGTATAATTTTTGCATTAAACTGAGCAAATATCAGAACAAAGTTTCGCGCAAATAAAAAAACCTCTTTACCTAAAAACTTAGAAATTAAATGTCACTCTGTCAAGTAACCTTTTGGCAATTCATTTTTGTTCACGGATGTCAATGAGTGTAGCGATGGCAATCATGTTTGCCATGTTAATTCCAACTGTAACAACGCAGATGGTTCTCATATTTGTACTTGCAAGGAAGGATACACTGGAGATGGACAGTCATGTTAAGGTGAATGAGAGCAGCCTACACTATTTAAAACAAGCAGCTTTGCACATAAACTATCGCTCATGGAAATTAGCCCACGCTTTAGAGGCCTGTTTTGACGCACCACTGACATATTGCTATTGCGTTACTTTTTATACGTCAATTATGCATCTAGATATCGATGAATGCAGCAATGGAAGCCATGACTGTGACGTAAATGCAAATTGTACAAACACTAATGGCTCCCATAGCTGCATCTGTAAGGAAGGATACACTGGAAAAGGAGAGTCATGCCAAGGTAAAATTAGATTAGACTTTGAAGAAAGCAGAATAACTGTTCATCAGTAATAATTGCCTTGTTATCCGACAAACTGGCTAAGAATTTTTTTCCTCAATAAGTTACCCTTTGCAAATCTATTGTGTTCACAGATATTGAGGAATGCCACGATGATAGTCATGGGTGTGATTCTAATGTTAACTGTACCAACACAAATGGTTCTCATAATTGCATCTGTAAAGAAGGATACATTATAAATGGACAGTCTTGCTAACGTAGATTAGAACAGCGATACTTTATGTCGAGCAAGGCAGCATTTCATAATAAGTATTGTCTTTGTAACTGAAGTTATGATCAAGAAATAACGTGATGATTTTCACGCCCCGACCTCGTATTTCTATTAAGTTACGGGTTTCATCGTATGCGTACATTCACATTTTTCGAAGGTTGAACACATTATACGCGTGGATATTTTACGAGTTTATTGGTATTCTTCCGATCACGGAAGGAAAGGGGATAATTAAAAGCAATGAGCAAAATTTTTTCTCGTATTATGCGATAAACCATCGCTCCTTGAAAATGTCTATTATTTCAATTATTGAAGTACACACAATATCGCCCAAGGAACTAAAAATGTATCTTGCGGAGTTTATTCGCTCTTTTCGACTTAAAGACAGAGAAGATTATGAACCCTCAGGCTAACATGCCTTGCTTCAAGTATTGAGAGGTATTCACCAGGACATGAAGATCGCTCAGAATGACAGCGCTGTAAAACTCGGCTGCAGTGAAAAAACTAGATAATAAACCTAATACATCATTTAAAGTCTGTCCATACGGTATGTAATCAATCGTTGCTTTATATCAAACATCTTACTCGTTTGCCGCGTTCACTCACTCAACTTCCGATAATACGAGCTCATGCGTAAATACTATACAGACAGACTTTGCAGAAAGTATTCTATATCTATATTATTTGTACTACTAGATATCGATGAGTGCCTCAATAGAAGCCATGCTTGTGACGTGACTGCGAGTTGTACAAACACTGACGGCTCCTACAACTGCGCCTGTAAGGAAGGATACACTGGGGACGGACAGTCATGCCAGGGTATATTAGATCATACAAAGCTACTTTTCACAATATCCAGGGCCTGCTAAAAAATTTCCATACATGGAAAGATGCAATGTGATTTACAACCTCAGATAAGGAAAGTGGAGTGAAATCCAAAAATGAACATCGTTTACGCGGAGAATCGATATTCTCACGGCCAAATCCAGTCCTGCGAATGCGATCCTCCTAGTGGCTGCCTCCACATTGTGTATTGTGTCGATTAGTATTGAACTGAGACATGACAAGAGGCTTTGTTCCCACGCTAGAAACTGTACTTAGCAAATGTAAGTAAACTAAGTTTGGTAGCTGAAATGCATTCATGTAGAAAGAAAAACCAATGCCAAACTTGGTTTTCGTATAAAAGTTGCAAGACTTTTGGTTCGCACTGTGCGAAATGCTTGACATATATATTCCTTTATAAGAATACAGAGCTAAAAAATATACGTCTTTCATCCACACCGGATGCTTACTATATTTCTGATTCTAAAAGTATAAAGGGTGCAAGATATAACCCTGTTTTAACTTGTTCTTTGCTCGTTACAAATCTTTACTGTCTCTCAACTGAGGATGTTCTCTTCCAGACATTGACGAGTGCAGTGAGGTTTATGGCGTCAAAATAAATAACTGCCACCTCAATGCGTCTTGCGTTAATACCCAGGGCTCATACAACTGCTCTTGCAATCCTACCTATTTTGGGAATGGTTCTACGTGTGAAGGTAAGTTTGTACAAATATTTGATAAGAGGAGGCATAAATCCTTGTCACCTAATACGCTAAGAAATGACTGTTACTCTTGATTCTATGCGAACTTTAACCACATTTAACCTATTTTGGGGGTTAGAGGGAGGAGGTGGCTAAGGAATTTGTTCTTGTTTTGACGTAACAAAAATAATTTACTGCCCATAAAAGTGAAGAAAGTAAGAAAACTAAGTCTTCATCCTTAATGCTTAATGCAAGTATGTGGCTCTTACAACAAATGAAGTTACTCCAATAAATACATCCAAAAGTTGCAAAGTGGTCAATGGGACCAGAGGTTATTATCTCCGTGGTTAAATAGCTTTGAAAGGAGTTTTGCAAGCAGTGAAGTAAGCCCCTGAATACAACCAAAAGTTACAAAATGGTCAATAATAAGTAGATAACTATTGTTCCAGTTAGAAAGAAATTTGATGTTTGTCTCCGTGTCAAGTAACCTTTTGGCAATTCATTTTTGTTCACAGATGTCAATGAGTGTAGCAATGGCAGCCATGTTTGCCATGTTAATTCGAACTGTAACTACACAGATGGTTCTCATATTTGTACTTGCAAGGAAGGATACACTGGAGATGGACAGTCATGTCAAGGTGAGTGAGAACATTACTGAAACAAGCAGCTTTGCACATAAACAATCGCTCAGGGAAATAAGTTCACATTTTAGAGGCCTGTTTTGACGCACCACTCTCGTATTTTATTAGATTACTTTTTATACGTCAATTATGCTTCTAGATATCGATGAATGCAGCAACGGAAGCCACGATTGTGACGTGAATGCGAATTGTACCAACACTAATGGCTCCCACAACTGCACCTGTAAGGAAGGATACACTGAAAAAGGAGAGTCATGCCAAGGTAAAATTAGATTAGACTTAGAAAAAAAGCAGAATAACTGTTTATCACAAATTATTGTCTTGTCATCTAACAAACTGGCTAAGATAGTCTTTTGCTTTATTCAGTTACCCTTTGCAAATCTATCGTGTTCACAGATATTGATGAATGCAACGATGATAGTCATGTTTGTGATGCTAATGTTAACTGTACCAACACAAATGGTTTATATAATTGCATCTGTAAGGAAGGATACATTATAAATGGACAGTCTTGCCAACGTAGATTAGGAAAGCGATATTTAATTTCCAGTAAACCAGCTTTTCATAGAAAATATTGTCTTCGTAACTGAGGTTATGATCAAGAAGCAACTCAGTGATTTTCACGCCCCGACCTCGTATTTCTATTAAGTTAGGGGTTTCATTATATGCATACCAGTCACATTCACAATATAATATGCGCGGATATTTTACGAGTTGCTTGGTATTTTTCCGAGCGCGAAAGGAACGAGAATAAATATGAGCAATGAGCAAGATTTCTTCTCGTATTATATGATAAACCATCGAATATGGGATTTATCATTTAATCATTACCTGAAATATTTTTCTCGAATATGCGGCCACGCTTGGATAATCCCTCCACCCCACCCTTCTCTCCCTCACTTTTTTAATAGTATAGATACAAGGAAAATCTGTTTGTACAACCACACATTTTTTTATAACCTTTCAACCTTCAACAACAGCAGATCAGTACAGCAGAATAATTTACTTTCAATTTCAGATTTTAATTAATCTTCATGTGCTTGAATAGTTCCTTTACGTATTATCTTTTACTTTGATTTTGATGTCCTATTGCTAAGGTAACTTAAGGCGGGGTTTCACCTGAAAAAGTGACATTTTTGCATCACTTGTAACAGCTATGGTTTTCATCAGAACCATAGCAAACTATATATCGATGAAAAGCTATTGGCCTGAAAATTATGACACTGTGTATTTGAATGCGGTATGTATTTTTGTTACCTGATACCAAGCCCTTTTAATAGCACATGCCGTGGCTGACCTGGACCTACTTGAGAAAAGATTTTTACATATAGTTTCACATGAAACATGTATTTTTATTATTTTTCTCAAGTAAACTGATTGCTTACTGGGATGAATGAAGGATTGTGTCAACTTCTTGCAAGCACTTACTGTCCTTCAGACCAAAGGCATGGCTGGTATACGAGCCAGCAGGAATAGAGAGTTTTTCTATTATCCTCTTTCTGCATTTAGCTTCATAGTGAAAGTGAAAAACGGTAGATACTGCAGAAAAATGGATTACCGTAGCCCCATGATGCTTGTGGTTTGGGCATCGTACCCAGACCATCAAGTTCATTTACTCATTTGGGTTCTGGGTCATGACATTAACATACCTCTCAAGGAACTTAGAGGTGTTTTCTTTAAGAGTTAGGTTTGCTTATGTTGAAACACAATGAAAAATACATCAGAGGAAAAATAATAGTAATTACAACTGAACAATTCTAATTTTATTTGAGAGTTAAACTTCATTACAAAACCAAGCAACCACACAATACAGTTTAATTCTTTTGGAGCTGAGTGACATGTACCTCAGCCGGGCGAAATATCAAATACAATGTAGGTGATGTCACTCTTCTTCATTCTGTCGATGGTTATATCAATAAGCTCGCACAGACTCACCTCACCTCTGTGTACCGTTGAGAACACTGATGATAAAATTATTTAAATCCATCAGCCTGTATCCACTCACATCATCTCCTGCTTCGGTTTTCTCATCTGAATTACCAGGGGACTCATCAGTAGAAACGTGAAGTTTCATTTTCTTTCGAGAAAAACTAAGCGGTTGATCACTTTCCTCACTACAATCATCTGAGAGTGCATCACATTGCTCAAGTGAAGGGCCAGGTTTTGATCGATCGATCGATCACTGGTTCTCTCGCTTTTGCCTTCGCTTATTCTGACGATTTCTCTTGTCAACGCGATCCAGAAAATCCTTTAACTTTTCTTTCCTTTCTGTAAAGGCTTCGCTTTTTTTATTCCAGTCATTCTTGTTCAATACTCAAATCTATCCCATAATAAAATTTTTGTCGTCCTACTCATGTCGCAGTCACCGAGATGTCCGGCGTAACTTATGTGTCGTTAGGGACGTTTTGGGAAGGGTAACGAACGCGTAAACAGAAGGAAAATTAGAAATAACAACTTTCATTGCCATGACAATGCCGTAAAGGCCTTGTACCTGTGGTCAAAAAATGCCCCGTTTCCAGGTAAATATTGTAAATAGTCACGAAAAACACTTCGTAAAGCGAACTTCATTGATTGAAGATGCTGATTTCAAAGAAAACAAAAATTCACTTTTTTCGACCAAATTCAGGTGAAACCCCGCCTTAAGAAGCGACCCTTTCGACTAATTCGCCAAAGCACCCATCCTACAAATAAGTTTATATGGTTTTTATCTTTCATGATGATTTATAAACCATTGTCCGTTTGACAATTAGTTGTTATTAAAGAGGAATTTACTCTTCTTATGTACATGTAAACTATATAATAAACCTAATACATCACGTAAAGTCTGTCCGTAAGATATGTAAAGAATCGTTGCTTTATATCAAAAGTCTTTCTCGTTTGCTGCGTTCACTCCCTCTGTTGTGGTTCTTTTTTTAAAAAAACAGGAGGCGTAGATTGTAAGACACACACACGTTTTATTCCAAAGCAAGAAGAACACTAAACTTAATCACACGCGAATGATGATCAATGCCTATATTTTATATGCGGTGACCTAGGTACTAATATGATGACCGCTGGCCGGAAACGGAGGCCAGTCAATATTATGACACTTTCGATTTCGGATACTACGAGCTCGTGTGTAAATACCATACAGACAGACTTTCTATGAAGTATTCTATATTTATATCATTTGTACTACTAGATATCGATGAGTGCCTCAGTAGCAGCCATGCTTGTGACGTGACTGCAAACTGTACCAACACTGACGGCTCTCACAACTGCACCTGTAAGGAAGGATACACTGGGGACGGACAGTCATGCCACGGTATGATCACTGCATTCGACTTAGAAAATAAAAAAAAAGAGAAATCTGATGTTTGTTTCTGTCGAGTAACGTTTTGGCAATTCATTTTTGTTCTCAGATGTCAATGAGTGTAGTGATGGTAACCATGTTTGCCATGTTAATTCAAACTGTAACAACACAGATGGTTCTCATATTTGTACTTGTAAGGAAGGATACACCGGAGATGGAAAGTCATGTCAAGGTGAACAAGAGTAGCCTACACTATTTAAAACAAGCAGCTTTACATATAAACAATTGCCCATGAAAATTAGCCCTCATTTTAGAGACCTGTTGTCATGCACCACTGTCGTATTTCTATGACCATACTTTTTGTATATCACTTATGCTTCTAGATATCGACGAATGCAGCAATGGAAGCCATGATTGCGACGTAAATGCGAATTGTACAAACACTAATGGCTCCCATAGCTGTACCTGTAAGGAAGGATACACTGGAAAAGGAGAGTCATGCCAAGGTAAAATTAGATTATTCAGAATAACTGCCCATCACAAATAATTGCCTTGTTCGTACGTGCCTACGTACGTGTCCGTACGGTATTTAAACAATCGGTTCTTTATATCAAAAATCTTAGTCGTTTTCCGCGTTCACTCCCTCAATATCCGATATTACGAGCTCGTGCGTAAATACCATACAGACAGACGTTCCATAAAGTATTCTATGTCTATATCATTTGTACTACTAGACATCGATGAGTGCCTCAATAGAAGCCATGCTTGTGACGTGACTGCGAATTGTACCAACACTGACGGCTCCCACAACTGCACCTGTAAGGGAGGATACACTGGGGATGGACAGTCATGCCACGGTATATTAGATTAGACTTAGCATCATAGAAAGGTAATTTTAAAAATATCCAGGGCCTGCCTAAAATTTTCGTACATGAAAAGATGCAATGTGATTTCCAACTTCAGACGTGGCAAGTAGAGAATGAAATCCAAAAATGAACAACATTTACTCGGAGAATCGGTATTCCCATGGTCAAATCCAGTCCTGCGAATGCGATCCATCTAGTGGCTATGTATGGATTGACCTCTATATCGTGCATTGTGTCGATCAGTATTGAAATGAGATACGAGAAGCGGCTGTGTTTACAGGCTAGAAACTGCACCTATATAAGTAAACTAAGTTTGGTGGCTGAAATGCATTTATGTTGAAAAGAAAAACTGATGTTAAGCTTGGTTCTCGAATCAAAGTTGCAAGAATTTCGGTTCATGCTGTGCCAAATGTTTGACACATATATTCCTTTATAAAAGTACAGAGTTAAAAAGTTTCCATCTTTCTTGCACTGTCTCTACACAGGACGCTTATCACATTGTTGGTACTTAAAGTATGAAGGATGCTAAATATATAAATCAGTTTTAACTTGTTCTTTGCTCGTTACAAATCTCTGCCACATTTCTCAACTGAGGACTTTCTCTTTTAGATATTGACGAGTGCAGTGAGGTTCATGGCGTCAAAATGAACGACTGCCATCCTAATGCCTCTTGCGTTAATAGCCAGGGCTCATACAACTGCTCTTGCAATCCTACCTATATTGGGAATGGTGTTATATGTAAAGGTTAGTTTGTTATGTTCAGGCTTCGTAACCTGACTATGAACGTCTTTAATGTTACAAAGGAGCGCGCAGAGTTGGTAATACAAATATTTGATAAAAGGAAGCAGAAATCCATGTCGCCTTATACGCAAGAAATTACTGTCACTCTTGATTCTATGCGAACTTTAATCAAATTTAACCTATTATGGGGGTGAGGGAGGGGAGGTGGCTGGGGAATTTGTTCTTTTTTTGACTGGCAAAGTTTTGGACTAAATTATATGCGTAATAAAAAAATTTATTGTCCGTAAAACAGACGAAACTATGAAAGTCTCCAAACTTAAAGCTCATCATTATTGAAAGAACGATGAAAATTTCTCTTTGCTAATGTAATTTAATTTGGTAGGCGATCCGTGTTAAAAATACAAAAACCTGAGTGATGCCATCAGAAAGAGCAATTACACGGACTAGCCTTTTTATCAGGGGGTGGAAAAGTTTTGAAATAAATCATACATGTTACTCACCGAAGAACTCAAGAAACCGGGAATAACCTTTCGATCTGAGGGATTCTTGGGGCTACGCCATTGTGAAAAGAATCGTGTTACTTTCGTCATTATTATTATTATTATCATTATTATTTTATTATTATTCTCATTTAAGCCATGTCATTTAAGCCGAGTCAAGTACGTAACTTTCGGTTTTTTCGTAATTTGTTTTACTTTCGCTTCTAGGAAATTTTGAACAACATTGTCTGTTATAAATACAATTTTTTTCTGCTTTTAGCGGCTATAATCTGAGAAAATCTCGACAAGGGACCCTGTATTGTTAGCGGTTAACGCTTTGCCATTCATTTATTAACCTGACACAGCTAATTGGCGATATCAAACACATGTAAAAAATTATCGCAATGTAATACACGTACTCTTTCGGCTTTTTTCAGGTTGGGAAATCCTTTAAAACACCGCCGTTTATATAATAATTTTTTTTCCTTAAGCCTTCTTATAAAGAAATGTATAAAACATCGTATTAACCGAAATTCAACTTTTTAGCCGATCCGTGCTATAATTACAGAAACCTGAGCGATGCTGACAGAAAGAGCACTTACATCACACCCCACGGTGGAGAAAAATGTGACGACGAATCTTCACCCATGATATTCGGGAAGTGGCATCGTTTCGTGGGAGATGCAGGAACAAAAATGCCAACCCAGTGCGTACCGGATTATAGATGTGGTGCAGTCTTATCAGGCTGGCTAAAAGGTGGTCACCCCACATTGGCAAATGGTGAAGTTTCCTCCGCGGTCTGCTTTACCAGAGGTGGAGATTGTTGCAAGAAATCAATTGATATAAATGTGAAAGACTGCGGATCTTACTTTATATACAAACTACAAAAGCCACCTGCTTGTGATCTGCGCTACTGTGGCACAGATTGAATGCTATAAGCAAGTAATTCTGCACAGTGAAAGGATTCAAAAATCGATTTATTGACACATGTGCATTAATATATAACAGGGACTTTAAGAATTTCACATGATCCACTTTTCATGGTTAGTGTTAAACAATGACTAGTTTGAACACAAGAATGCCATTGGACCGTGTAGTTTAATCTTTCAAGTAGGAGTACTCCTTTCAAGGGAGGTTGAAGTCTTGTGCAACTACTTTAAACTTGAAAGAAACAAACAATGACATCAGCATGTCTTGATGTATCAGGCACAGCAGCAGGTGGAGTTACACTCAACCCAGTTGTATTAGGGACTATATCTGGATCAAGTGTTCTACTAAAGACTCGTAATGAAATTATAGGAAAAAAATCGAGCTATGTCGTTTTGCTTACACATCATATGAAAAAATACTGGTCGATTTGCGATCCTTTATGGGACAAATCATGCGACGATCAAAATTATTTGACTCAGTTGAGAGTTCCTGATGATATCGTCATCGATATGTGCCCTTTAGTTGACAAATGGGATAAGGAGTATTCACAGAAATTTATCTCCGAATGATCTCCTTTATTCTATCCCCTATCAGTAAATTAATTTCATTCCAATATTGTTTATAAAATCTAAATGTTCTTTTTTATTTATTTACTGGAATTTCTTTATATACGGCAATCCCATAAGTTTAAACACTTTACTCAAAAAAATTCTTTCATTAATCATTCTCTTACGATTTTTTTTAATTTTAGGAATGATACTCTATTTCAGGAAAAACTTTCATTATCTTATTCTTATTATCAACAGATACATTTATATTAAATTCACTATTCAAATCTAGAAGAACACGCTCAATATGATAATTTCTATGATAGACTGATTTACGTACAATCCTCCAGCGATTATTATAATAATCAACTAATTAAATTGCTACTTCATACCCATCAACCTTACCACAATTCTTGCAATCATAGGCACCATCAACATTTTCTTCTTCCATCATCGCACAACATGGTTCATTTTTCACCACTCGTTCTTGTAATTGCTTATAACAAAAAGGAAAAACAATATTTCCCAAGTTTCTGAATGCGTCATGAATTTCAAAATCACAAACCATTCTATATTATTAAATGATATATTTTTGTATACAAGATTTTCTAAATTCTTCTATTATTTCTTGAAGTTCTTGTTCTGCTTCTTCCATATTATCATTATTGAAATTTTTTATGTTATCATGGTCATCAAAATAAAAGGCATCATCCTCTAGCTCAATATCAGCTGTAAAACTACTTTCATATAATCAGTAGTTTTGCTAAATATGCAAAGGAAATCGCGAAGAAAAGGCTTCTGTTCTTGAAAAACAGAAATTAGTCTGTCACCATCTAAAGCCCTTCTCATGCCACATTTTCAATATCTGCTTTGCTGCAAGTAAACCACTCAAAAGATTCATAATACCAACGTCTCGGGTACTCTAAGAAGACACCTATGACGGAAACACAGAGATAATCCTTTCATGTTTCTCTATGAATCTTGCGACGCGTTAAATCCTCCCATGTTTTCAATTGCCTATACTCAACTCTAATTTGCGGAGAACTTTAATTTCTACCGAGGAACCGTCGTCTGGTCTTGTTAAGGTATTGTTTTATAATTTGAAAGAATATCTTCTCTGTGTTCCTAAAAGTACAATTAATATTACCGTTGACACAAAAACGCAACATTGTTACGAGTTACGAGGGATCGATCACACGTGGGGACTGAAAATACATCAATCATGTTTCTTCTTATAGCCACATTCTCCTGACCCAGACACTCTGCAGTTTCAAATTTCTGAAGAGACAACAAATCAATAAACAGGGATTTGAATGCTCGAGAAGGCTGGCCGTAGAAATCCTGAGGTCTTTAAGTATGAAGGATTTATACATTGCTTCATTTACAGCTGATTTGTGATAAACATTATTTCTCACATTATAAATGTGTCATTCAAAATTCCATGTCAAGATATTTTTGTCCAGTTTACCACAATCGGAAACATTCAACAGAGTTAATTCCTTTAAAATGAAAATATTTACCATTATTATGAGAATAACGTTCTGCTCCATTTTTAGTTGACAGAACATGCAAGTAATGAATTGAAAAAGGAGGAAGTAATTAAGCTATGGGTTGCATCGCAGACGAACATTCCAGCTGCAAGAGCAAAACCTATTATGTTGCTACCTACATGTAGTGTAAAAGCATATACCATATTTCAGTTTCTAGAGGAGATCCATGAACGGTACAGAAGCACATGTGTACAGAAACGTGGAACTGCTGGTCCTTATGTCTTACATGTAACAAGGAATAGTACCAAATCTTCCCCTGAAGATTGCAGTTGAAGCAGCGTATTAAAGAAAAGAAAGGTTAAGCTCTTGACTTTCTTGATTTCAAGGCCACTGTGAGTAAACTGTTTTCCAAGAGGATGCAATCGCAAAGTGTTATGTCTTAATTATTCAATAAATTGGTGAGAACTTTAAATTTTTGCCAGCTTTCAATAGCGCGTGACATACCCTTAAATGACTAGTTGATTATGAAAAGCGTTAGCCAGAGCACTAAAACCAGGAGCAACAGTCGAACCTGTATTAATGCTCGAAATCAACTAGAAGAAAGGATGAAATTGCTCAAAAAGGTCAAATCAAATGAAATCTTCAAAGCCTTAAAACATGGTAAACTAGCGGCTAAATATTTGTAACAAATGGCCATGTGGCAGCCAACTAGATACGCGAAAATCAATTTGAAGACATTAATTGAAATCGCTAACGCGGCGCGGCAAATTTTATTCATATCCATGTCTATCGTTAAGACTGTCATCATGGTCAATTTTAAGACTTTGAAGCCGTTTCATTCCAGTTGGGTCTTCTTCTGCACGTTTGTTTCTCGTTAGGAAGGTCTATAAAAGTTCCTTTTTGAGCAAGAATGGTGCAAAACGAAGAAGGAATAACCACCGTGATTGTTTTTGCTCTTCGTTCGTAAGGTCTAAAAGGATGTATATTGACCAAGGATGGAGCGAAATGAAGGAAAAACCAGCCACATCATTTTAGCCTGCAGCCCACGACGACAGACGCCATTTTGAATTATGTTGATATCTCCCTGTGCTCAGACAAATATTTACGCCTTTGTAACGCCCCCCAGATATTTGAGCAGTAGACAATAGAATGATGTAGAGAACAGAGGCAAACCTAATGCTTGCATATAGATCTGTCCATTATTGAACTACGAAGACTAAAGCTCCATACCAATTAGTCCGTGTATGAATGAGCTATTCATGTGTCCCTTTTATGTTCCGCTTGTCACAAAGCTTGGTGAGCTTAATTTTCTATTTATTCCAACCGTACGGTCACCATGTAATATTTACATCGACTTTTAAGGACAAAAACCAACCAAACGGCGAACAGAAAACACTAAAATAAACTCAAAGAAAAACAAACCAAGGCAACGAAATCAACACTACAAAATGTGCAAAAACACAAATAAAAGGTTACGTCTGCTCCCCACACAACCTCCGCGATGCACACAGGAACATGAATATTGCTCGAAATAACAGCGCCGTAAAACTAAGTAACTAACACTGATGTGGCTTTCCGCTCAACGCATCCGAAAGGATTTCAGTAGTATAGGAGATGGCGGTACGAGACCACTTTGAAAAAGTGATCTCGCACCAACTCTCAATACTACTTTCCATATTATGGAAATTATTTGACGAAATCATTTGATGGAATTATTTGATGGAAGCATTTTAAAATATTAAAGCGCCGTTGGAATACTATAGGAGGCTAGCGATATCATGGATGTAAAAGCATTTTTCCATTACGTGACATTCTCAGAAAAACAGGAAATCAATGATGCACTAGGGAATTTTCCCGAGGACACGAGTCATGGCATTTTATTTCAGACGACAATTGAAATAGTGGCTTGAAAAAAAAACTCGGTGTATTGAGGGGTGCCGTGTCTTTTTTCAAGCGTAACGTAATGGTTCTTAATGGGAAAATTTAGACACCCCAAAGGCAATAGATGTATGTCGACCTCCCTTTGTTTTTTCTGTTTTGTTTTTTGTTTTGATCTTGGTTTTGTTTGCTTAGACAGAGCAGAATATAAAAGTAGTACATTGCGTGTTTCGCCATCTGAGTATTGATAGGGGCCATTCAAGGTCAATTAAATCAATTACATTTTAAACTGGAGGCTTCTGACCAATACTTCGTAAACATTGAAGATATTTTAGAAGGATTATGTACGGTAACCCATTCTTGAGCTAAACTCCTATAAAATAGTTAAAAAGGGAGCGAATCTAATGTTACCATAATAAGTTTGTGACAAACGTAATCAGTAGGTCATCCAAGGTGAGTCAAATTTGTGACGGCGTCGTTCCCAGCGTGCTTTGCAGAAAAATGAAAAAAAAAATGGCGGACTAATCTTTCTTCCTGTTTGCCTTCTACGGACATTCAAGGTCACGCTACCTCCTGGGCCTATAAATAGCGGTCTAAGTTTTTGTTTTCACAATAATCTACAGAACTCGTTGTTGCTGTTGCAATCAGGAAACTACTCAGTGTACGAGAGGAGTTCAGATATATCTTCGGATCAAAAGAGATCACAAATCGATAGAACAAAGCTGTTAGTAATTTATTTGGTTTCAAGTGATCATGTTTTTAGTGGTGGCAGTTTCTTTGCTGCTGGCTGCTGTTGTGTTGATCTCCTTGGTACTGCTTGGAAGACATCACTCTGAAGATCCAGTGAGGAAGATGCCTGGCCCAAAGACAAACCTTTTATTTGGCAATGTTTTGCAGCTGCCAAGACTACCGAATGGTGAGTGAGACGAGCTAATGACTCATGAAGCAAAGCCAATTATTTTCTTGCCATATTTTGTCATCTTCTGTGGCCTTGTGGCCACAGACATACGAAAAGATGGAATCTATTTGTAAGGTTTGAATTTACTAAATAGGAAGGTAAATAAAGACAAACTTCAAGCTCGCCTTGCAGCGCTCGACACAAGTCAAGTTACTTTCATTTGCTTATAGTTACTTTCTCAGTTGACTAGAAATTACCATTTTTTGCTTGCGAAAAGCCCATTTATAATTTTCTTCATCAATCTTACTTTTGATTACAGTTTTTAAAGCGTAATGCGGAGTCTTTATATAAAAATTTTGAAATTTTTGCCAATTAATGCCTCAAGTAATTGTTAGACTCAGGCCCGGGTCGCGCTACGGGAGATTTTGTCAATTATCCGTTAAAGAAGGATCATTATCTGTCATCACAACACGTTTCCTTATGCAAGTGGTGTTCCACAAATTTCTAAAATTTTGGAAGTTCTGCAGAAACTTCAGAGATACTGAAGTGTACGGTGGAGCAGACAGATTTTGGAAAAATAAAAATAAAAACAAAAGACACAACTTCCGGAGCTGTCAAGGCCATTCATTTGACCTAGATATGACCTGCAGTTAAATTGTTGATGTTTTCCTTTTTCTATGTACCGTTTTCCTTTTTACCATGCGCCAGGATCATTCCCAATGCAAAATGTTCCTTATTTTCACCCTACACTGGCTGAACTGATCAAGCAGGACCCAGGGGAATTTTGTTTAATTGATCCAATAGTTCAGCAAGTGTGGTTTGCAACAGCAATAGCCTGACCAACTCTAGGTCAGCTGAAGGTTGGCGAGAAAAAGATGAACGATAGCTGAGCTGAAGAGCAGAAAACACAGTATAATAAATGGCCACACGAAGAATGAAGGGCTGTAGTAAGCCTATGGGTCGGGTTGTTGTAATGAATATCAAACCATGATTGGGCTGGGCAAGGAATGATCCACACAAATTCTATGTAAATGCCACCGTCTTCTTAGAAAAGCAACATCCAGGATTTACATGTATTCATTTACCCATCTCTAATACAGGGTGAAAAAGGCAAACATTTGTTACTGTTGCATGTTGATAATTTGTAGACTGAAGTAGAATGGCAAAAGCAAAGTAAAAGGCCTGATCTGGGTTCATGTTTATCAATGCCCAATACCTACCAAAAATGAAATCTGATCAACTGTGTTTATTTTGACCTATCTATGTATTTCAGCAGTGCAACCCAAAAATGGTGTCACATTTTTTCAGCACTTCCGCTTTTGGTTTCAACTTTTCGAAAATTTTTTGGCTGCACGATTTTTAGTTTGGGCTGTAGTGTGACATGGGCCTTAGCAAAAACATTCAACTTATGCACATCAGGCGTGATCTGTTAGTACAGGTCATCACTTGAGTTGCTTACAATATGGAATAAATAAACACAAATAATCTTTTTCTTAAAGCAATATAATTACTCAAGCCCTTTGGGCTAAGGAAATTACTATTTAAGAAACGAATTGCAAGTGCTTATTAATTCTTAATTTCATGAATAAAGTGATGATTACCTTATTGAATGATATCTATGAGAAAAAATTTTGGACAGCTTTTCATATTGATGCACAAGAAAATGAAGTGTGCAGATCACCTGCAGAAAGTGTGATTTGACTATAGATGTGTTTTCTTACTGTAACTCCTTAATTTATCAATTTTTGTTTTAATTGATAGATCTTGTGACTCAGATATTACAGTGGGTGTATGAGTATCACAATGGGATGTTTTGTCTGTGGCTTGGGCCAACATACCCTTTTATCTTCTTGTACAAACCTGAACTGGTGGAGGTTAGTGAGTTTTGATATGTTTTATTTCTTGTTACATACTCATGTAAAAGAAAGGAAATAATTAAAACCACACAAAACAAAAATGCAGAAAACAATTTTTATGCAATATTATGTACATGTAGAATTATGGCATTTTTTTTTTTTTGAAAGGGCAAAAAAAAAACTGAAGAGTAAGAGGCAAGTTTTTTTATGAGAAGGAAACAACAGAGTGTAAATGATTAATGCTATGCACACATTTTTCTCACTCTCACTAAAGACCATAACAGGAATACTGTCTTTAAGATAAAATGGTAGAGCTACAGGACAGGTGTAGCTACATGATCACCAAAAACACAGATTGCTTAGTTATTGATTTCTGCCATGCAACCAAGGAGGTTGCAGCCTTAACGCCATTGATCTGAAGGATAATTAGGCCATATTTTTGTGCCACAAATTTTTCACCAGTTACTTTTTTCTTGTTTATCTGTTATCTGTTGATTCTTAGAGGAAAATGTTTTGGGTTCAGATAGACACGAGGAATATGTGAAATGATATACTTTGTAATTTGAGTAGTTTGTAATAACTCAGGGGGTATTATCCTTGTGAATGTGGTATCCCAACTACAGCTTGGAAAATTTGTCTCAGAAATAAAAGGTGGTCAAATAGTGGTGGCTCCCCAGGATTTACTGTGTGTGATTGATTAATGTTCTGCAAAATCTCTTTCACTCTGATAACCAGCTCATGCTTGAAATATCAGCCTTAGAAACTCAACTCAGTCGATAAAACCAAATTACTTGTCTGATCTTAACTGCTTTCTTAATTTATTTGGTTTTGTTTTTATATTTACAGTACTGCCTTACTTTTTAGGTTGTTTTGCATAGCTCCAAACATATCAGCAAGTCTGCAGATTATGACTTTTTACATCCTTGGTTAGGAACAGGTCAGTTTAAACAATTTAAATTTCAGATTACATTTTACATCACTGATTTGGTTGAACATTGTATGATTCTCTGTTGGGTACTCTGTCAAAGCTGGCCTCACTTTAAAGCTCTTGTCTTGGTCAGTTTGGTCACAAATCGCCTCAAAGGCTCATTCTTTGCATATAGGCTTCATGAACTAATTTAGAAGCATGTGGAAATACTTCATGAAAGGGATTGTATATTTTTTCATATGTTTTCCTAATACTTAGCTTTTCACTTGACTTTCACATGCATATCGGAAATTTGTCAGTGAGACAAGTGTGAAAAGTTTCTGATGACTACACCAAGATTCTACCATGATGATTAAAAGTACAGGAGCACTCTTAGATACACATCTTCTTGACCATGGTCATGTTACAGTCCAGAGCCACTTTCTAGTTCTTGTATTTTATACTCTGAAAGTCTAGACATAAAATAAACAGGAAGTGCTGCGATCTTTGTCTTTGTCCTTGTCTAGCAGATGTTTATCAGTGTTATCTCATTTTCTCTTCTTTTCTTTTACATAAATGTTGTGATTTATTATGGATCATTGATGTTGTATTTACCAAGGCCTGCTGACCAGGTAGGGTACATTTTACACACCAACTTACTATGAAATGGTAGAAGAGTTTAGATGATAGCCATATTCAGAAGCCTGGGCTGGGTTGTTTTACTTTAAGCTACATGATGTTAGCCCTTTACCTCCCATAAATGACTTAGAGAGAATTTCTCCTTACAATATCAATACAATATCAAATGAAGCATAGACGAGATGAGAATAAAGTAAAATATCAGTTAGGGGATTATTAGTTGATCCAATACCAAATTCTGCAAATTGACATCAGAATTGTACAGCAGATAGTAAGAAGAAGTACTAATGATATCTTGGGAGTTAAAGAGTTAATTAGAACATCTATGTAAATGTACATGTCATGCATGGTCCATGAAGAATTTTGGTTTAATTTTATTTTAAGCTTCAAAGACAGTTTTCCTCTGTACCATTAAATTTCTATAAACCCCAAAACATGTTTTCTGCTTAAAAACAAAACAACAGCAAAAAGTTTGAATTAAACCCTGTGTGGCTACCTTTTGAAAATTGAATGGATAAGTCCCCTCTTGTCATTCCATTGATGAAAAGGAGAAAGGGAAAGAATATTTTACATTTATTTAATTCCTTTCATTTAATAAATGAAATATCCTGCATGTGCTTGAACCTGTTATTATCTTTCAGTGATGGATCAAAATGGAAGACAAGACGAAGGTTGATCACTCCAACATTTCACTTCAGCATTTTGAATACCTTCTTACAAGTTTTTGAAGAACAATCAAAAATACTGGTCTCAAACCTTGAGGTAACAGTTTGAAAAAAATTCATATTACACTGATTACTGTAGATAGTTGACAGGTTTTCAAACATGCAAGCATACACAATGCAGTTAATGCTAATTAAATGAGAATAAAACATAATAATCATAGTGCTTTAATATAATGACACATAAAAACATCCTCTCAGAAGATGCAAGGGAAGTAAAAAAGACAAAATGATTGATTGAGATATGTTGTTTCTTTCTTATAAAACTGTGTAGAAAAAGATAAAGACAGGAACTTTCAACATAATGCCATATATTACTCTGTGTGCTCTGGATATTATATGCAGTAAGTACTTTGCACTATTCAGTCACAATGTGATGATGTTCATGATTTTTCTTGCATTTGATTATATTCCTTCTTTTCTCCAACAGCAGATGTATGTCTCTGCTAGCACATCTCAGTGTAACCCCTAGTCCTATTCGTACTCAATACTGCTCAGAGATACTTGTTGCTACTGCTTTACATCTGTACAAATGTATATCAAGGAAACTCAATCTCAATAGAGCTCTTTTTGAATAAGTATCATAATAAAGCAAAACCAACATAATGGGATGACAGCAGCTAATCTGAAGAAACTAAAACACTTCATAGAGCCAACTAAAAGTCAAAAGATAAAATGCCCTAAGCCGACTGGAAAACATGGGTGACCAAATTGTGACGGTTTAAGTTTTGGATCTGATTTGTGCAGAGACAGGATGGGGCAAGTTTCCTGGACCAATTACAGACCAAAGAAAAGCAAAACCAATGCAATCCGTTTTTTTTTAAACTCAATTGAAATATGCACTAAAACTGTTTCTACTAAATCAATTTTGTGACAAATTCACTGTAAATTGCACCAGTTTCATTTCCTATTGATAAACTTAACCCTCTACACATAAGTATCAGTATGCATATTCTCCATACTGTTCTCTAAACAGCTCCCATGTCACTGACAAGGAGAATTTGGTTGACAATCAGAGTTCACTCTGATGACATCCCTAACTATATTTCCATGGCTTTGATGTTTGAGTCAGCAGTGATATTGTTACAAGAAACAAGATTCTTTTCACTTTTAAGGGTTAAAGGGTGAGAGAATCTGAACATGGGCCATCTTGTAGCCAAGTTAATGTGTCACAATTTACATAATATTATGACACAAGCCACAATGAATCACAAATCACAATAAGTCACAAGTTGCAATAAGTGAAAAGTCAATAGTCTCAGTTCATAATTTACGATGTATACATACATGTAGTACATGCACATGTACGTATCTCTGTGGACCTGTAATTTGTCCATTGCTTTCAACCTGACTCTGGTCAAGATTTGTTTTCAAGCACTCACATGATGATTTGAAATCCTCTCTTACTTTGCTTTCAACAGTTACCTCCATGGACTCCTCACCAAATGCACAGGGAGATACCAATTCTCCATATGTCAAGGCAGTTGGAAGGTAACTGCATGTTTCTAACTCAAATGAAGACGAATTTAGTCCAGTGAGTAGTAATTGACGATGGGGAATTGTTATGGAAGATTGTTATGCTGTAATAACTTAGCAAAGCAATCTTTTCAACCATCATTTTCAGTGAAAACTTTTCCCACAAAAATATCCCCGCATGAAATACTGGTGTCCCGAAGAATGTCGTCCTCAAATTATCTACATTGCCAAATTTTGCCTTTGAGAAATATTTATTTCATTAGATTTCATGTTCAAACCCTGGCAGTCCAAAAAAGGATGCTCAATTTCTTTTTTCGTAGATGCTCTGTTATAGTCAAACTTGTGGAGAATTTCTTTGCACTGTAAACATTGTTTCATGTTGCCTTTCCTTTTGATCTTAAATCGTTATCTGTCTTTTTTTCACAATGTTAGAATGAAGCTTGAAAACTTTGTTTCATGTTGCCTTTGCTTTTGATCTAGGATTGCTATTTGCCTTTTTTTTCCC